GAATATGTTTTTTTTTTGTTTTTGTTTTTTTCTTTTATTGCAACATGATACGCTTCGTTCGCACAAATGAGGAAAATCTATACTATTTTTTTGGAGTAGGAAACTGTTTACTTCTTAAGCTACACGTTCTAGCTTTAAACAGTTTGCTACTTCTATTTCCTTGTATAGATTTACCTCATTTATGCGAATGAAGGGTATCTTGTTGCAGTAAAAAGAATAAAATAAAAACATTTATATTCATATACATTTATAATCGTTTGTTTAGTAATTCTTAAGTATGCTAAATTCTGTTCTGTTCTGTTCTGTCCAGTTCTGTTCTGTTCTGTTCTCCTTCTCGCACTTCTTTCGATCGGCTTACTCTAAGCTTTGCTTTATATTTGCCTTGCAAAAAAAAATATATGTATGTATATGTATGTGTATTGTACACCAAGTCAGTGAGAGCGACGGCGCACGCATTAGTCTATACATAAAGTATTCTAGTATTCATTTTGTTGCTATCCTGCTCGCTCCCTAATTAATAGCCTTAGCCTAACTTCCATTTGCAATGCTGAAAATAACGTAGCTGATGCATACCATGCATACTCACAAAAAGAAAGAGTGGGAGAACGAGAGCAGCCATTATTCCAGTTGCTGCTCTTACTTATTCTGCCTTAACCTAACTGTAAGTGTAAGTGTATAGTCATTTGCTCATGCTGAGTGCGTGTCGTCGACAGCAAGGGCAAGAGCGAGAGCGAGAGCGAGTGACTTAAAAGTAAACAGTATACAGTCCAAGTTTCTATTACTATGCTGCTCGCTCTCATTTAGCTTAAGCTTTCCTTACTATATTTGAAAACAAAAATACCTGCATTCCTTGCAAAGAGAGAGGGAGAAAGAGAGAGAATATGTATGTAAATGAAATATTCTAGTTAGAAATGATTTGCTGCTCTGTTGTGCTCTCCCTCGCTCTTCTCTTTTCATTTAACTGTCTTGCTTATGGCGCTGCCGAATGTGAGCATAGCTGATTATCGACTTGACCAATCGCTATCTACTCCGAGTCCAGGCTATCCCAGCCATCGGACAATTCATCCAACTGCAACAGCTACTGGAACGGCACAAATTTCGTCATATCAGCAGTTGTGGAACGGGGCGCAATCGCCGGATTGGTGACGGTTATGGGCAGCTCCAAGGATGTGGGCACTCCGCTGCCGCTGCCATTGGTCACACCAATTACGGCCAGGCTATCGTCCAGATTGCCACCAATGGAATCCAGGGACAGAGGCGAGGCCGATGAGCTGCTGCTGCCGGCGCGCAGTTGAAGGGCGGCAGAGGCGCTGGTGCTTGGTTGCTCCAAGGCGGACATGATGGGCGTCTGATCCAGCAGCGCATTTGTCTCGTTCGTGCGGGCTGTAATCGGCGGCGTCAAGTGGGAGGCACTGACCGGCAACGTGTGTGCCATAAAGCCAACCACATCCTCCTCAGTTCCAGCTCCAGCTGCCGCTGGTGTCAGTGTTGGTAGCTGTGCTGGTGCCGTGCCTGCAGATGCTGCCGCTGCAGCCGCCGATTGAGTCTCAATGTGTAGAACGTCCACACTGTTGCCGGACAGCGCTGCAGCCAACAAATCGGGGACTATCAGAGGCACAGAGCCAGAGCCAGCTCCGTTGTTGCACTGGTGCAAGGTCAAGTCCTCCAGATTGACCAGCTGTAAGTCTCGCTCGTGCAAATAGTTCTTGGCCGCCTGCAGTATTTCGGCGGCAGGCAACAGAGCCTGCCCGCCGCCGTCGATCTCAATGATGATGTCATCCTGTTGCTCGGCTATATTCATTAGCACCTCGGTTGATATCTCCAGCTGGTGGCCACCGACATTCAGTTGGAGCACATTCGACTGAAGCTGATACATTTCCTCGGATGCCGATGGATCCTCGGCTTCATCAGTTGCCACCAGATCATCAGCTGTTTCCGGCTCCTCCTCTTCGTCGTCGTGGCCGTCGACTAATTGATTTGAAGGCGACATCATGCCCAGTATAGCACCTGGCATCACATCCCCTCCTTCCACTACTCCTTCTCCCACTTGCCCTTCTTCTGCTTCCGGGTTCTCACATTGCTCACCCTGCACCACCTGCGCTATGGCCTCACCATCCAGCAGAAAGACCGCAGACAACGGATTCCCTTCGGGTAGCTGTGGTGTCTCGGTTAGCGCCTCCAAAGGCACCGGCACCAAATGATTCTCGCTATCCAAATATAGTGCCTCGTTGTTCAAAGGGGTGAAGTTGTTGTTGTTGCTGAGGGAGCAGAGCATGAAGGTGTTGCTGTAGCCAGGAATGGGACGAGTCATCACAGCACAAATCCGTGAATCTGCTGCTATCTCTTGGGTGGTTTCCTTCGACTCATCTGCATCGGAATTGTTGCCACTTGGCGACGGACGGTTTACTGCTCGTGACGATGACGGCTGATCATCCAGTGGATCATCGATTCTCTGCGACTGTTGCCTCTGCTGCTCCTGCCCCTCTTGTTGCTGTCCGTGTAGGGGCTGTTCCTTCTGTCCTTGCAGCTGATGCTCATGCTGTTCTTGCAGCAACTGCTCCTGATGTTCCTCCAGATGCAGCTGCTCCTGCTGTTCCTCCAGCTGCAGTAGTTCCTGTTCTTCCTCCAGCTGCAGTTGCTCCTGCAGTCCCTCGAGCTGCAGCGGCTCCTGCTGTTCTTCCAGTTGCAGCTGCTCCTGTTGTTCCTCCAGTTGTTGCTGCTGCTCATGCTCTTCCTCTAGCTGCAGTTGCTCCTGCTCTTCCTCCAGCTGCAGCTGCTCCTGCTCTTCCTCCAGCTGCAGCTGCTCCTGCTCTTCTTCCAGCTGCAGCTGCTCCTGCTCGTCTTCCAGCTGCAGCTGCTCCTGCTCTTCCTCTAGCTGCAGCTGCTCCTGCTCTTCCTCCAGCTGCAGCTGCTCCTGCTCTTCTTCCAGCTGCAGCTGCTCCTGCTCGTCTTCCAGCTGCAGCTGCTCCTGCTCGTCTTCCAGCTGCAGCTGCTCCTGCTCTTCCTCCAGCTGTAGCTGCTCCTGCTGTTCCTCCAGCTGCAGCTGCTCCTGCTGTTGTTCTTCCAGCTGCAGCTGCTCATGCTCTTCCTCTAGCTGCAGCTGCTCATGCTCTTCCTCTAGCTGCAGTTGCTCCTGCTCTTCCTCCAGCTGCATTTGCTCCTGTCCGTGTAGCTGATCCTGCGGTTGTTGTTCTGCCACCGTTTCCTGTTCCTCTTCTAGCGCCTCATCTGATACCGGACTCAATTGCAGTTCCAGTTCAAGGTCCAGATCCAATTGATCCTGCTCCTCTTTCCGGTTATCCTCCTTCTCTTTTTCTTTCTCCTTCTTTTCCTTTTCCTTCTCCTTCTCGACCTCCTGTTCTTGCCTCCTTCTTCTAGTTTCCACTGCAGTTTGCGAGCCGCTACCTCGTCGCTTTCTTCTAGCTTGAGCTTCGCGCAGACGCTGCAGCTGCCGCCTGGAAAGCTGCAGATCCTGCTCGCTCAGCGTGGTAAACGCTTGACAGGATGGGCTCTTCTGTGGGCGGCTTATGTTCTCTCTTCGTATGGCCGTTGGGTGCACGCTAATCGCTCGGCGATTGAGCCGGAAATTGCGCTGCTCCTTCAGCCGCATGAGCAGCAACTTTTCCTCGGCATCCGGTTTGTGCTGACAGCGGGCGCGAGCCCAGCGCTCCCGGGCAATGCGATTGATCTCCGCCCTGCGTCCGCTAGTTATGTCCGCCTCGTACTTAAGCAGCATCTCCCGCTCACGCTCCTTCAGCTGCACTTCAAAGCGTCGACCGACCGGGTACGACGTCGGTGACCAGCGATTTGGCGATGAAGGCGAGCCAGCTCGCGGGGATTCACGTATTTCGGCATGTGCGCGTTGAGCTGCCGCCGATGTGGAAGGTATCGGCTGTTTCTGTGTGTGTTTCTTGTCTTCTTTCTTCGAGTGCTTTGCTTTCTTCGCTTGCCTTTCTCTCTTGTCTTTTGAATGCCCTGCCGGCGTCTGCTGCTCCGCCTTCTGTGGCTTCTGTTTGTTGTGATGCTGCTCCTGCTTTTGTCTCTCCTTTCGACTCTTTGCATCTCGACGCTCGGCCCCCTCTGCTCTCACCGGCCGCTTCAGCTGGCTGCGTCCGCTGCTGCTGCTGCTGCTTCTGCCGCTGCCGGTGCTGCTGCTACCGCTGCCACTGCTGCCGCTGCCGCTGCCGCTGCAGCTGCTGCAAGTGCTTCCACTGCTACTGCTGCCGCTACTACTGCTGCCACTGCCGCTTCCACTGCCACTGCCACTGCCACTGCCACTGCCGCTGGTACTCCTGCCGCTTCCACGGCTTCCCCGCTTACTGTTTTTGCTGGCTTTGCTGGCTTTGCTGGTTTTACTGATTTTACTGTTCTTGCTGGTTCGGCTGGCTCTGCTCGCACGACTGCGAACCCGCGCACTGCTCATATTGCTGTTCTCCGAATTGGGGCGTATCTCATAGAGATTGGGCAGCAATATGTCCTCCAGGATGAGCACACCGCTCGACTCTGTGGCCGTGGTGGACTCCTCGACCAGGGCAGGAGCCGAGCGCTGCAGCTCGCACGCCTCCTCCGCCGAGATGACCGCCATATTGGAAAGAATGGAGCTGCTGTTACTGTTGCTGTTGCTGTTGCTCGCCGAATGCGAGGAGCTGTTGCTGTTGGAGCTCATGTGGATGTGGATATGGCTCAGTGCTGGCGAGGCTAGGCCGCTGAACTGCGACTGAATGGGGAACTGCGCTTGGGAAGCAAACGGCATTTGCGTCTGGAATTGCAGTTGCGTTTCTTGCGCTTGCATTTGGCTTGGCACAGGCGACGAGTTGCTCAGCTCTTCGGCTGTGGGTGTCGGCGTGGGCGGAGTTTGAGCCAGGCTGTAGCTGGACATGATTTGGGATTGCGACTGGGTTTTGGCAGCGCAATTGTTTGGATTGCTTTGGCGTCGCTTATCAGTCTTCAGTTCAGAACTGGAGCCATTGGATAATGTGGGTAGAGGCGACGTCACTACCTGCTGCTCCTCCTCCTCTTCCTCTTGTTCCAGCGCCAGCGAAACTTCTTGCTGACTCGTCTCGTCCTCATCTTCCTCCCGCTCCTGCTGTTGCTGCTTTTGTTGTTCCTGCTCCTCGCGCTGCTTGTTGCGCGACTTGAAAATGCGTTTCTGTCGCTCCTTGATGGGCAGATTTGACTGCTCTGCCTCTGCATCCACACTGCCTCCTCCGGTCTCCAAGTCTTGCTCGTGTTCCAACTCCTGCTGCTGCTGCTGCAGCTGCTTGCGCTGGTGCTCATTGAAAGACTTGAAAAGATCTTCGTTGGATTTGGCCAGAGATTGCTCTCTAGAGTTCGGCTCCTCGCCGCCATTGGACAGAGGAGCCGTAGCTGTGGCTGTTGCCGTCTGGGCAGGAGCTGGAGCCGAGGGCTTGGTGTGCCGTCTATAGCTTAGACCATTTCCATTTCTCTCAGCGATGGGTGCATTCGGTTGAATGGCAGCCGGCTCGAGGTGCTCGTCTTCCTCGTCAAAGTCAAAGCAGGAGACGGCACTCGGATTCGGATTCGGGTTCGGATTTAGTGCTGATGCTCTCATCGAGCGCTGCGGCTCGGCAGCATCGATAAAGACAACGCTCTCATTGGAGCTAGCATCGCTATCTTGAATTAGGATCGGCTCCTCCTGCACGCAGTTGCTCTCGGCGCTAGCATCGAACTCCTGCAGCACCACATCTCGACGATCCTTCTTTGGTATGTTGCGTATGCGTTTGGATGACGACGAGCTCGATGAACAGGAGGCTACGGCATTCAAGGATACATCATTGCATAGTGCATCATTTGTGGCAGGACTTGCTTCGGCATCAGCGTCAGCGTCGGCGTCGCCGTCGCCGTCGCCGTCGCCGTCGGCTTCGTCGTCGGCTTCGTCGTCTGGCTCCTGCTGTCGCAGCTCCTGCTGCAGCTGCTGCCCCTGCTCGATTCGCTGTTCCTGTTCCAGATCCGGTTCCTCCTGCTCGTAATCTCCCCATTCTGCGAGCAATCTCAGGTGCAGCTCACGTGAATCATTCACGATCTGATTTGGAGTGTCGTTGCACTGCTGTTGCTCCTCCTGCTCCTTCTTCATCTGTTCTGTCTCCTGCAGTGTCCCAGCTTTCGCCTTCTGCTCTCTCTCGGAAGCTGTTGCCTGCTCGTCCTCATACTCATCCTCGTCCTCCTCATCCCTTCGCTTGCGCTTGCGTCCCCGTTTCGCAGCCGCTTCCGCGGCCGACACGCCTCCACTCGGTCTGCCTGCCGGCCTTGACGTGGACTTTGCCTTCGATGTGGGCGCCGTCTCCGGACTGGGATTCACTGTTTGGGTCGCTCGACTGGGCAAGGCCAGTGCGAATGGCGACGGTGATGTTGGCGTGGACATCATGGAGGCACTGGTAATTGTGCAGTTCCTCTCACCAGTCTGCTGTGCGCGTTCTCGGGGAAGCGCAAAGGTGACTGAGGAAGAGGCGGATCTTCTGGAAGTTGGTGTTTTCTCCAGGACTTTCCTTTCTCGTTCTCTTCCTCTGGCTGTACTCGCATCTCTTTCGTCGGCATTGGGATCATCGTATGTCGCTGTGGCTGCTTCCCTTGCAGCACTAAGTCCCCGCCTCCTGCCCAATCGCTCTGCCCGTTCTGCCCTGGCCCTCTCACGCTCCGCACTGGCGGTGGAGCTGGTCTCCTGCTGCCGGGTACAGGAACGCGTTAGTCTTCTCTGTTTCGCCGGCGTTGCGGGCGACGGCGGCGTCAGCGGCGGCGGCACTGGCATCGTGGCACGCAGCTGATGGCAACGTTTGCGCCTCGGATCCCTCGAGCTAATCTGCGTGTTGCGGCGCACCGCCGGACTGGAGCACTCGCTCAACGGCGATTCGGGGGGTATGGGCGACTTGACCACGCGCTCAATGCTCGCCAGCGTCAGCTGGGCAATGCTCGCCACCTGCCTCTGCTCCTCGTCATTGAGCGGCGCATCCACCACAATGGAGACGTGTCGCGACTGGCAGCGCCACAGCGACGAGTAGGTCGCCAGCTCGCGGGAGATCGATGTGTTGGCCCTGCGGGACGCACGCGACTTGTTGGACAGGCAATTGTTGGCACCTCCACTGCCTGGCATCCCCGTTGACACGGTGCTCAAGCGGCTGAGGTCCAAGTGGGTGCGTCTATGGATGAGCAGAACGTTCATGCTGCTCGTATGGAAGTCGCACAGGTTGCACTCATAGCGCTGATCGTTGCGTCCCTCGGGTCGTGAACAAGCTGACGCCGGCGCTCCAATGTCCATGATACGAATCGATGAATCCTGTCAAGCGCAAAGAGGGAGGAGCAACATTAATTGGAGTCGATAGCATTCGAGAGATCAAGGCCAAATAAGTATAGGAGCTATAGAAGATACGCTGAATACTGAATTGCCTAAAGGCAGATCTTATACATATATTATACATAGTCCCATCGACAAACTCTTATACGACAAAGAGGTCTGCAGAAGACCTTAGACTGAGGTATACTACAGAGGTGCAGCATAAGAGATTTCAGATTGGAATACAGATAGAGGCATCATATACAGCCGACTGCTCTGAATCAGGGAGTCTTTATAAGGAAGAGGTACGAGGTATGTGTAGGAATACACACATAATAATAGAGCGAAGATCGACAGATGAAAGAGAAGCGAGTAGCCAAGAAATATAAGAGATAATTATAAGAGGGCTACGAATAAATATCAGGTATATAAATATATCTTAGGTAAAATAGTTCTTAATTGGGTTAATGAAAGAGAGTTAAGGAAAACGTCTTAAGTGTAGATGAAAGGGAATACGTATATATAAAAAATGTACAGCTATCTTATATTTACATATATCTAACATATACTATATCATATATCCAACAAAACTCACATTGTCGTTAAAGCTGCCGTAGATGTTGTAGCTGTTATCGATGTGATTATTGTTGTTGTTGTTGTGGGCGTGAGTGTTGTTGTTGTTGTTGTTGACGTGGTTATTGTTGGGGATCTGATTGTTGTTGTTATTGTTGTTGCTATTGTGGTTGTTGTAACGATTGTTGTTTAGATGATCATCCAGATTGTTGTTGCTGTTGTTGTAGTTGCGATTATTCGCAGCATTGTTGTGGCTGTGGCTGTTGCTGCTGCTGCTGCTGGTGCTGCTGATGTTGTTGTTGCCGGTGCCAATAGAGACGGTGGTGTTGGTGCCGACAGAGGCGGTGGTGATGGTGCTCGATAGAAATGCCTTAATCAAGCTCTCTCGGCTCACCGCAGGCTCTGCGCTCTCCAAATTTCTTTCGGCCAAACGGCTCTCGGCGTGTTTCACGTCCTCGTTGAACTTCTCCCTCATATCGGCTGCCACGGATTTCCCTGTAAGGCAAATGCATGGTCAGATCAGTTCGAGAGTGGAAATGGATGTTCGCTATATTCTCTCAAAGGGGCTCAAATTTAAGACTCAAATTTGAGTTCGTCCTTTCTTTCGTCTTCCCATTCGCTTTCTTTTATTTTCCCATTCCCATTCACTTGCTAATCCTAGCCTTCCTCTAACTATCCGGTTCTCTGCTCTCTCCCTTGCTTGCTCTACTTCCTTTTCTTTTTCTCCCTCTCCCTCTCTCTCTCTGTCTCTCCCATTTTTTATTGCTGTCAAATCTTTCACTCTCTTTTCTCTCCTCTTTCCGCCTCATTCCTTCCCTCCCATTCTGACGTTCTCCCCCCAGACTCCCCGCCCCCTCCCCAACCAGTCACACATAATCATCTAGCAGTCGGGCAGTTAAATGTCAATTCGGACAGCTTTCGTTGGCTCTGAGCTGGTCTCGTAGAGCTCACATTTATTTTATATCTGGTATTGTTCACATCGAGCATACGAGCTCTTCAAAAATATATATTTCTATAAATTTATATTTTTTTACTTTTTATCAAATCGATATATAGATTTATATATTTTTGTATTTTTGTACGAGTCAAGTCCATTTGCGAAAAATCAACGAAGAGGGAAAGCAAGCGATCGATACCGAGAGGTGGGGAGTGAGAGACCAACAGCGAGCCACAGGAGGCAAGAAAGCGCAAGCCAAACTAACAGCAGACGAATTAACAGCAAGCAAAACAGAAACAGGACAACAGGACAACAGGACAGCAGCAGCGGACACAGCTGAGGATATGCGCGTCGGTGCGGAGGCCTGCTGCTGCGGCAGCACCATCATGTCCAACATACTCGGCGCAGCCAGCGCCATTTCGCAGCTGCGCCTGCAGACGATCTTCGACAATGTGAAGCCATTGCAGCAGGCGCTGGGCAGCCGCCAGAGTCGCCCCTTCATAGTGGGCGGCCTGGCCACTGGCGTGCTCCTCTACTACTGCGGCCATCGCTGGCTCAAGCAGAAGGGGGCGGTGGAGCAGGGCAAGCTCAAGCGTGCGGAGGCATGGCAGGCGGAGCCCGCAGGAGCTGAGCAGCTATTGAGAAACCTTGAAGCTGGCGCAGGAGATGGAGCTGCAACAGAAGCTGAAGATGGACGCGAAGGGGGCAAAGGCAAAGGCATAGCCAAGGCCAAGGCCGAGGCTGAAGCTGAAGCTGGGGATGATGTCGAAACTGCATCTCATGCAGAGCTGACTACCTCCATGTCCTCCAACTCAATGGAGATCGAGTAGGGCCCGAATAGCAATCAGTCAAGCAACGTAGGGTGGTCTCGGGAGAGCTCTCCCGAATCTCAGCCAATCAATACAATACAAACAAACACACAGTTCATCGATCAAGCCTCAGAAAAAACTTCCCTGGATCTCTCAAAATCAATTCAGTTAGTCTCAAAGTAAATTTTTCTTGAATCTCAATCAATCGGCCAAGCAACCAAAAGAGTCTCGCAGCGAATCACTCTCAATTAATCAATGAATCAATCGAGAGTGCCGAAAGAAGCATCTTCCTCGAAATTCTTCACCAATCAATCAAGAGTTACGAAGGAAAGCGCCTTCATCGAATTATTTCCTTACTCAATCATCAATCAAATTGCAACCAATCAAACAATCAAGTCGCGAATGAAAGATCAGCCTCAGACCACTCTCAATCAATCAATCAAGAGTGTTGAGCGATGTCGAGAGAGTGAGCGAGCGGTGTTCCTCGAATCAAGCATCAATCAAAGAGTTCAATATGCATTCATATATACATATACATATATACGCGTATAC